CTTTTTTTTTATTTCCCCCAAAAACCCCTCCCCCCCCCCCCCCCCCCCCAAACACACCTGACAAGCGCCATCGCTGGACGCCCCGTCGGCGGCCGATGCCGTTCCTGCCGGGCACTGGTCGCAAGCCATCGACCCGTCCTCGCTCGAGTACTCCCCGGGCAAACAAGACACGCAGGCGTCGGCCAAGGGGCCGCTGGCAACGCTGGCGCCGGCCGTGCCGGCGGGGCAAGGGCTGCACTCTGTCGCCCCGCCGTCGGGGCTGTAGTAGCCCTTCGGGCACTCCAAGCAGGCGGTGGTTTGTTCGAACGGGGCGTAGGTGCCGGCCGCGCAATCCGAGCAGTACCCCAGCGTGGAGTCCTCCTGCCGATATGTGCCGACGGGGCAGGGGATGCACTCCGACGCGCGGACTTCGGAGTAGAACCCGGACGGGCACGGCGAGCACTCCAGCGCTCCCGTCAGGCTGAAGGTGCCTGAGAACGAACGTACGTGTTGTGGGTGTGGTAACATGACGGTGATCGCGGAAATGAGGAAAGGGTGGAACACGGGAGGTTCCGTGAGGGTGTTCGTTGAATGTCTGCCCACTCGCACACAGCGGTTGTGTTGTTTTTTGGCATCAGTGCCCCATTGTTGTGAGGACCCAACCCTTAAAACCAAATTGCAACTCTTTCTCCGCAAACACGAGCGCATTTTGGGTCTAGAAGTTGTTCAAAGCCTCTCGAACAAACCAGCTGGTCAATATTTCTTTCTCCTCCTTACACCCAAAGAACGCACCTGCCTCGCAGGGTAGACATCCGTCCTCTGAAGCCGTCCCCACGCCGTTAGTTGTCGATGTACCTGCCGGGCAATCGCTAGAAAGGACGGGGTTCGGCGGTGAAAAGGGCAAAAGAGATCGGATGTTGATCGCACGGACTAAAATACATGGCGGGGGCAGCACGGGAAATGTTCTACAGTAACGCCTACCGACCCACCCCCATCGAACATGTGCGTTTGCCGGCGGCATATTTCTCGTCAAAACATCCATCTGATTACACGTCCCATCAACCCTGTTCCGCTGTATCGCTACTCTTCGCTTACTAGAGGCGCGTTGCAGTGCTCCAAACACCCAGTTTTCGGGTATTATTAATGATACATTTCAGGTTTGGTCTAGCTGGCCATTTCGTGTTAATCTCTCCGAGTGTCAGCGTGGCACACCGCCGTATCGGTGCCAACAAGACCCAGAAAGTGTGGAAACAGCGAGTTAATCCAAAATATTTCCGACCGCATGCGCCTCAACAACGCGTGTGGCACCCTGGTACTGATCTAGATGTCGTTAGAACCGTGTTCTCAAGACCATCAGAGGAGGTCTACCTGCACGCTGTTGCCTCCACGACACCGCCGTCCCCATTTCCATACTTTCCCGCAGGGCATGGGGAGCACTCCTGGGATCCTGCCTCGGCAAAGTAGCCGCTGGTGCACGTCTCGCAGATGTAGGAGGCGCGATCGGTAGCGGTGCCGTCTGGACACACGCCGCACACCGGAGATGACGTGGACTCACAGAAAAACATGTAGTTGCCGGACGAACACATTGGGCTGGCATGGTTGACGAACGGTACCGGTGCGATGGAAGGGGTGAAGTCGATTGCAGGGGGCGTGTGTGAGACAGGGGTAATGGCATTAGGCTTCTGCGAAGCTCGACGGTGTTGGCATGAAATGCTATAATTACTCAACCCAACTTCGGGGCTGTTAGACAACTATGGGAGTGCTCATCCGCGTGTGAATTGTTGTGTTATGCTACCGTAAAGACAAAAAGTAGAGGCGTGGTGCCGTATGACAAACACACACACACAGCTCGTCATTTCTCAAGCTCAAAAGGTACGCTCGCACCTCGAGAAGTTGACGTTCCACATGTCCTGCAAAGCCTCCTCGTCGTTGTTGATTCCAGCGATAAGCACCAAGAAATCCCCGACACCCTCCAGAGTGTGATCTCTCCTTCCCACTGGGTAGGTCGAGCTACCATCCTCAAGGGAGCTGTCCACCCATGCGTTCATGTAGGTGTCATACTCCTTCGTGAACTCGTCAGCCATGTACTACATGTTGTGCAAGTTAGACGTGAACGCGAGGGGGTGTTCATGAACGTTGTGGCATGAACCGCCCGGGAGGCTGTAATAGCACGGTTTGCCCGGTCCCGTTTTATCGAACTCGTGGTTGGTCGTATCTTTCTTTGAGCGATCCTGCTTTCCCATCTTGGAGGCTGACATTATCTATGTCTAGGTGTTTTCACTACAAGCCAGAGTGTTTATGCTCAACCGTTCCGTGTAGTCATCTGATCACCTCGGCTCTGGCAGAAGGGAATTGTCTACGGCAGGGTGAATCCAAAGAACAAGGTCAAGCCCAAGCACCCACCGAATTTGGGTATCTTCCCGTACCGCCGTATAGCAGAATGCGATGCGGAGCGTCTTTGATTCCAGCAACGAAGACCGCGCCGTATCTGGAAAGAGAGAAGGACAAGGGATGGAGAGCCTCAAAAGCAAACTACTAGACTAGCAATCTGCAAGTGCAGACTAATTTGTTGTCTTTCGATCATAAACAATACATCCGCAGGCTCACGGAAGCCCGACCATGTCATATGTTTTGGGCTAGAATCAGACTCACTACAGCCGTCGTTGAGTACAGTACTAGCGAGTTCTACTGTAGAACCAATACAGTATAATCAGACACATCGAAAGCCTCGGAATGACACAACATCACCACCAGACACCAAGCACATAGCTATTGGCCACATACCGTCCCAATGGCAGAGTTCCCGCTGGAGACAGCTCGGTCCACGTGAACGTTGTGTCCTCGCTGTTCCCGAGGTAGTTGGAAACTGGGCACAAGCTCCAAAGGTCCGAGTATAGTATGCTCATCTCGTAGTTTCGGCCGCCGTACATATAGAGGCACGCAGAGCCACCCAGACCATTGGAGGCCAGCGAGGCGACGGCGTGGTAGGAACGCGAGGCAGGCTTCGAATCGTTTGATAGCCTTGAGTCCAAGTACAACCACTCTCCCTCCGTCTCTGTCGGCCTGGTCGGCGTCCGCTGGCCGCAAGTGTAGGAGCTGGTGATGTTTACTAGGGCGTCTTCATCGCACACAAACTCATCCGATGACTCGGACAAATGCAGGATGAGGTTGGTATCCACGCTGTTCTGACTCCCGGTCATGCCACCAATAACAATTGCCCACGCCTGTTCCACAACGTCGTGGATGCGGTTCCCATGCGAATGAGTTGAACGTCAGAGGGTCAAATCAGGCTGTCTTTGACTGGAACTTGTTTTGCCACCATTTCTCTGGGCAATCGGGAAAGAGTACTTCTCGCATCTCAAGCCCTGTATGCTTTACTTTTGTACAGTAAATACCTCTGTAGGGTTGGCCTCTCCTGTGTTGAGCACTGTTGCCGTGTGTCCATATCTGGGGATATCATACACCTGCCCGCCCAAGGCATCAGTCTTGGAAGCGTTTATGGGTCGCCACAGACCCTCCGGGGCCTCTTCGAATCCCTGTTTCAGGTGACATGGACGAGGGGAGGGCGGTTCGAGGCCAGGTGGAGGTACTTTCAACCGATCTTACGTGCTTCGACCTGAGGGTTGTTGCTCTTGGGTAACGTCGGTCTACAGATCAAAAGCACAATCTTGTTGGCCTACTGCATGGCCTTAGCCTGAGAATCCTGGGTAGGGCCATGAACCTGCATGCTACGTACGACATCTGCCTTCTTAACACGAGGATTAACCGTGGCAGAGAGGCCTGCGCCGCATGTTCAGCTTGACCAAAGTAGGTATGCACCTGTATGTCGGCTCGCCAAATTTCGGTTGTCACCGTGAAGGGCTCCTCAGTATGCCCGCAGACCACGAACAAAGAATTGTCCCACACGAATGAAGCGGGTCTGAATACGGCATGCGGTGCTCCATCGTATGCTGCGCAAGGCCAAGGCATATTGTGGGTATGTTCATACTTGTGGTTTGAGGTCAGTTATGTAGCCGAGTGCCCGTTGCGTACCCGTGCAGTTTGCTTTCTCGAAGTTGCGATGTGTTACTGTATATTCCATGCACTGCCGGATCAAGATGACAATCTCGATCAAGATCCCGTACTACAGTAGAATCTGGAACTGTGGACGGCGCCACCGAGTGTATGTAGCGGCTTGCTTCGCCAGCTGCGCATCACGCAACACACGACGCCGTCGTACATGTGCAGCAGTACATGCGGGTTGTCGTCTTGGTAGCCCCAGCACAGCTGGGCACGTGGGATTTTCTCTGCCTGCCGTAATGGCCACACCCATCGCCAACAACTGCAGCTGAGCGTTTTCGTTCAGAAAGCATACATCCATGACATCACAGAATCTTCCCTTTTCGAAATACTTCTACTTTTTCATAACAAGTGAAATTTCCCCGACGTCTGCCGAGGACCATTGATCCTTTTCACACTGGCATCGACTAAGAAATACGAACTATCGTTAGCGTTGTAGGCCAACGGCTGGCTTTCACAATTGTTGCTTGCAAAAAATACTGCCCTTACCAACCATCTCGAGCTCCGTCCAGTTCGCCGGGTTGGTGATGTCCACGACAAATACTCCTGCTTCCCGTCCAACGACATCATTTACGTCATCAGTTCGCACGCTCGTACCACCAAACACTACAGCGTGTTTCTGGTCCCAGGCCGTAACTTCTGCACTGACGTGCCCTTGCCTTCTCTGCCCGGCCCCCCCGATTGAATCTTGGCTGTCCCAGCCGGTGGGATCTCGAAGTGACACTGGATCGGTCACGGTTTCACCATCACAGACAGCCGCATCTATTCCAACTTGGGGCTCTAGCAAGGCCAACACCCACAGGGCAGCAACAAAGATCGTGCACACCACCATCCGTAACAAACGCGTGAGGACACAGTACGGGTAAAGGGGTAAGGGGGCTAGGATATGCGGCGAAATAGAGGCGATGATATGCGGCGAGATTGTTGGATATCGCGCCCTCACCCGAACCGGTACAAGATGTTTTCGCAAACCCGATGGATCAATGATGGACGCAGCGCATACCATTGTAACATTGTTGTACGCGACAGGAAAAAGTGGGACCAAGAGAACAGAAAGAGACCAGTGAGGCCTTCTGGTCCTGAGGGAGTGTGTAAGAAAGCCATGGTCCTAGCTCAACCAGATGAAAGAGCAACACCTCCGGTCAAGACCCCACCGCGAACACGGCCAGCAATGCCGATTTCCCCTTCAAAAAACGTTTCGTCACCGCGTTCACCAACAACACTCGAAGACAGAATCTTTGCCCTCGAGAAAGAACTGGCTAGGACCCGCAAAAGGGCAGATGCGAGGGGGAAAGAGGCAGACTCGCTACGCCAGCGTGTCCAAGAGCTTGAGCCGGAGGTTCGTAAACTTGCGAACGAGCTCGAGAAAAGGCGCCAGAGAGAAGCGTCTCGGAGCCCGCTCCGAGGACGGAAACAACATGCTCCACCGAGCGCAACTCTTGGCGAGGACGACGTTGTTCTCCGCGCCCGACTCGCAGCGGCAGATAGTCGAGCAAAGATCTTACAGCTACGGTGCGACCGCCTCGAGTTCGAGAGGAGCTTTAGAAAAACAACCACGGATCCAGACGGTCACCACAGACAGGACGCGAGAGCGGCACAAGAGGAGGGTGATGGCGGAAGCAGTGCGCATGCTGCGACGATGGATACCGACGACGGGCGACATCGTGCGCTAGACAAGGACAACGAAGCTCGGCGGATCAAACGGCAGCTGGAAGTTGCCGAGCGTAGGGTGAAAAACTCGTTTTACATCAACGAGGCACACGAAAGCTTGGCAGCCAAGGCGACCGAAAGAGAAAAGGAGGCTAATGCCCGCGCGGCCGAGCTCGGGCGCAGGCTTGACCGTGCGCTCGAAAAGCTGGAATCCATCGAGCGCAAGGACATGATACTCAACCTCGAAACATCCTGTGCGAGAGACGAGGAACAGACCTTTTTCGCCGAACGAGAACTACGAGCCCACCAGATGGACCCTGAGCTATACCTGCCGGTCAACACTGCCAAGCGGCGGCAGGTGGCTCGCTCGGAGAAGCGCCTCCGTCGCTTGCGGTTGCGCCACGAGAGTCAAAGTGCCGCCCTGTCCCAGGCACAAGCGACGGAGCGGTTACACGCAGACCTAAGGAGAGCGGCAGGTTTAGGGGACATACCCCAGACGATGAAGTGCTTGGATTCTGGGATCTCAGTCAATGTGCCTGATCAGAGTGGGCTCTCTGCTTTTCTGTACGCCTGTGGCCAGGCGAACGCTGAGTTGGTTCAAATTTTAGTAGATGCGGGGGGGGATGTCCTTGATGGCGACGGCACCATCACGGGGCTCATCATCGCGGCAAGGAAGGTGAGGGTCGGGCGCACAAATCTGAACCAAGGCCCATGGGTTCCGGCAACAATTTTTGGAGTCCAAGAGGAGTAGAGTATCGACTCCTGCAGATAGTTGCATGCCACTCCTGTCCTGCTGAGAAGCTGATATCGGTCAACCGTGCCGTTCAAGGCGAAAAGAGGCTAGTAAAACAACGTGGAATTCATTTTCCAATATTTGTCGTGCCAACACGCGAGAAATTGACCATTGATACGATTCTCGGGGAGGGCGTGTAAGCCCTCTATCTACCGCCCGTTCTACTTTAGGTGTTTTGCGTTTAACATCAACAACAACAACAGCAGCAGTAGGGTAGTAGCCGCCCCGCCCAAGTTGTATGTTTCCTCCTAGAGTTGAGAAAAATACAAACTGTAGGCGGCACCACCACCGACGCTACTAAGTATTTCTAGCACAAACAATATCTACACCATGACGACCCCCCACTGTCCCGTCCATCGAACGAAAAAGGGAACCATGGGAGTGGTCCAAACGCTACTGGAAGCCGGCGCAGACGTGTGTGCTCGCGATTCAGCAGGAGGGACCGCCCTCCACGCAGCAACTCTCCATCGGCACGTGGACGTCGTCCGAGTTTTGCTCGAAGCAGGATCGCACTGCAACGCTATCGACCAGGGCAACAACACCCCGCTGCACATGCTAGCGTCGGTATCTTCAGGCAAGGACGGAGGGAGTGACGTTAGAGGAGGGGAAACGGGTGCCGACGTCGCCGGTCTGCTCTTGGAGTGGGGAGCCTCGGCGGACATCAAGAACTCAAAGGGCTTGACACCGATATCGGCTGCCCTTGACACCAGGAATCGGGCAATGGTACTAGCGTACCGAGAGTTTTTTGGCGAAGACAGCGGCCTAGCGGCTGTTGATGCTGATTTCGATGTTGAGAGCAATCGTAGCGATACTACACCTGCCACGGATAACGGACGGTTGCCGCCAGAAAGCCCCAAGAAGGCCACTGCTGTCGCAGACCCTACGCGCGAGCGAAACACATTCAGTGCCTGAGTACACGGGGTACGGCTCGTGGTCGATATCGAGGTGGACATGACCTAACGGCAATCCTGTATATAGAGGAAATACGTTTTCGCACATTGACCTGAACGTTCCGCAACACCAAACCCGATCCGCGACGGCTCTATTATGAGCGAAAAGCTCGCCTAGCGCAGTGACAAAACGTATGCAAAAGCTGCACAACCAACGGTTCGTGGCATTCCAAGTGCGTGGAGGTGTAGGCATAAAGAACCGTGCCCACGGCAGGTTCGCGCAGAGGTACGAAAATGGCGTCCGTATCAATGAATTTGCATCGTCGATCTCGATGAGAATCAGATTTCAACACCAGACCGAAAGACCGAACCCTGAGCAACAAGACATACCCATCACAGTGTACGGTCTGTCCTCTCAAAACGCACACAAACAAATGCCAAGCGATTGCATGCATCCACTACAGAGACACGGGTCAGGATGTCAGAACCATAAAGTAGACATGTGTTCTCCACCCCCCACCCATGGTAGCTTCAATACATCTGCCGCTCTACATGCATGGACCAGAAAACACGGGAGCCCGGATACCCGAAAAACCTCACCGGGGTAAGACCTAGACTCTTGCGGACTTGCGCCACGGCTCACGACCACAAGAAGCTCTCTGCATATAAGTGTTGGAAATACGTTCATCGACCACGACTGGATGTGTCCATACTTTTACCATCAACCACTTCCTTCTCCAGCATCGAGCTACAGCCTGCCAGTGGTGCCAATCAAGATTTTCGCTTATTCTTCTTGCCGCTGGATGTCGGCTCGTCAGAGACCTGTGTTGTGTTACGCGCGTGGAATTGCGGTGTTTCGAACGTCACAACTCCAGACGAACAAACAATGACCCTCAGTACGATGGTTACAACACGTATTTCGCGGGTGAAGAACCGGTTGATTTCTCGGTGGTACTACCACGATAAGACGCAACTATCGCTCGAGGTTGCACAGAACCCTGTCTCTTAGGCGTGGGCGAAGTTCAAGGCCCGCTAACTAAAATTGTACCTTGTTTGTGGAAACGGGGGCACGTACCGCACCCAATGAAAAAAAACGACGTGAGTCGTGCATCGCAGCTTCTAGATCTTCCGCGGACACAATGCATGGCACACGATTCTTGTTGCCTAACAATCTCCCATCCCCCAGGCCCTTACGCCCGACAGTCTCAAATTCTCCTCTCACCTTATGTTTTCGCTTGGCGGCGGGTTGCGCCGCTGCCGGGGGCGCACCTCCAACAACCCCATTTTCTTTCGGTGGGGCCTCCCCCCCTGCACTCTTCTTCGGAGTTTTCGCCTTCTTCTTGGCCTTTTTCGAGCTAGACGAGGGCGACGAGGCGGGCGCGGCATCCCTCACCACCGTTTTCGAAACCGCTGGGGTATCGTCCGAGCGAGGGCTCGGTTTCGGGCTCTTGGCCGCCAACTTGGCGGCTCCCTTACCCCCCCGTTGTTTGCTTTTTGCGCAACCCTTTTTTTTGTCTGCTTGTCCCTTGGCACCCTGACCGCCCGACGATGATCCGTTCTGCTGCCCGCCGTCGCCGCCATCCTCCTGCCCTCCTTCCGCCTTCCTTTTGGTCTTGTCAGCCTTACCCTTCTTGCCGCTCGTTTTTTGTCTCCCTTCCCGTGCAGCTGATTGGTCTTTGTCTTCTCGTCGTGGCGCCCGCTTCACTCCGCCCCCCGCCCCTCCCTCTTCTGCTTCGTCATCGTCATCTTCCTCCTCTTCGTCCTCTTCCTGGTCGGACTCGCCGTCTTCATCCATCGCTTCTGCGCCCCCGGTAGGTACCTGTCGTCGATTACAGCAAGACACCCAAAAACATCAGAGGTAGAATTGAGTACACGGCCGAGAGAACAACCTACTGCTTTAGCGTCCAGCTGCTGGTTGTAATCTGCTCAGAGTTGGCCTCGGAGAGGTTCCAACGCGGTTCGATATCACGAATAGAATGGTGCCAGCTTGCTCGGTTCGACCATCGGTGCACCTTCCACATCATGCGCAACAGCAGCCGCTGTCAAGGACACATGTCAATCGTCAACCACACACACAGCGCAAAAATCCACCGCCCGGCCTTGACATTCCCACGTACCCAAATTTCTGCACCGTCCTCCTCCTGGTCCTCCTCCTCGCTATCCTCCCCCAGCGGCTGCCTCTGTGCCTGCTTCAACCCTTCCATCTCTGCCTTTCTGTTGCCGTACCGTTTGCCGTTGACGTGAGCCTCCACCTCCTTGGGGATCCGGTTGAGCTCGATGCGCGTGAGCGTGCAGAAGAGCAACTTCGGGTTCGTTTTGTGGGCAACAACAAACGGCTCGTACTTGCTGAAGTCGGCGTTATACCTGTGAGGTTTTGGCAACGCCAGAACCAAAACCAACAAGAGAGAGACGAGGACGACGTGCGGGCGACGGGGCTGCGACGTTCAACCACCATCCCGCCGTGGTGTCCTCGACTGACTGCCGTCAAGCATAGCTCTAGCTCGACAGGGCCGCTTCAATGCACGCGTGTTCGAGCGAGCTGCTTGGGGTACCGCGTGGAATGGAGCAAGCTGGACTGGGAGGAGATTGGTTAAAGGGGGGCGCTGAAAGGCCCGCACAGCAGGTACATGCTACAGAGTCGCCGCCGGCAACTATGAAATGAGTCCTCTTCCATCGGGTTCTGTGAGCCGTACACACAAGCAATAGCTCGGATGATGTGTAGTTGCCCGATTGTGAACGACATCTCAGAGCGTTCGTGAGTGCTAGCGTCCTTGACTTCGATCGCGGCTGTGGGTATGCGTATATATGCGCCAAAGATAACGCCGGCCAAGGTAGGTACATAGCAATGCATCCATCGGCCTCTTTCATAGAATCTGTGCGGTGGGTCCCGATAGACACTATAGCTATAAATAACGGAGTTTTGCTCACAAGTTTCATGTCATGGTAGATCCGTACTAGAGATTTCGAACCCCCCCAAAACACATGGTATGTTTTCTCTAATCGAACATGAGCTTGTGGCGGGCCTCAGCCCCCCTGAAACGTGCCTGGGGATCAAGGCAGATCGCGCACTGGCTCTCTCTGCGTACAAAACCCACAGTAAAACTTCTGGAGGACAAACAAAACCTCAGTATACTGTGGGTACTTCGTGCCACGTACCTGTGAGCCGTTTTGGGGCCAGCGGCACCCACAAGTCTGTGCAGGCACTAGGTAATCAGCGTATACGGTAAGTCATGTGTGACCTCTAGCAGGCGTGCAACTGCTGTGCTACCAGCCACTCCTCCTCGGGAGGTTGATCACCACCTCAATTACAGCAACATCCAAGCAAGGGCGTCAACGTCACACGCCTAAGCACTGCATACACGTCACAGGAAACATATACACGATGCATCAACTCACCACTCCCTCTCTTTCTTCAGCTTCTTGCTGTTGAGATGCTGATGGACGGCGGTGCTGTTGAGAGGTAGGTCCCGGTTTGTCAGAGCGCAGTGGATTTTGCCGGTCAGTCCAATGGACAAGAAGTCGAATTGCTTGATTAGATCCATCACGTGGACAGGTTTCGAGGAGTCATCTGCGCCAGGCATCTCTTTTGGAGCAGATCCCTTGCCTTGCTTTGCCATGGTCAGCAGAGAGAGAGAGAGAGGGAGAGAGAGAGTTCAAAGCTGATGTGGTGCTGGCGTGCTTGTGGAGCGGAGAGGACACCCGACCTGTGTAGGGTACACAAACTGATACAGTGATTCCGCGATGCCCCCGGCGGGCGCGTTGTGCGCACAGGACAGGAGTGTGTGCTCAACGCTCCACTACACTAGTCACCTACTGCTGCTTCTGTTCGCAGCCGCCACCATGCTCCGGCTAACTATTCTTCTCCTGCTGCTGAGCGCAGCGCAGGCCTTTGTGGGTGGCCCCAACGTGCTGATCGGGCGGGGGAACGCTGTATGTGAGTCCCGCTACAACCGCCCCTATGCCTAGTCTACAAGTATGGGTACTCATGTAGGTGCTCATGTTCGCAACCCCGCTGCCGAGACCTTCTCTGCCAAACCTCACCTTCACATGCTAGAGATCTCTTGCATGTGGAACGATTGCTGTCCCTTATCTGTTGTCTGCACGTCCTCGCAATTCAGATGCTAGTTTAAATAGCATGCGACAACGCTTTACACAACGGAGGATTTCGATTTGAACGTCAAGCGAGTTGGATAGCTCGAGATTGGCTTGCATGCTTTCACCGGCCCCAAGGAGCTGACCAGCACACCACACTGCACACGTGCACGGTACACCTCCCCCATTGAATGCCTCTCGAACCCCTTATGCTCTTGACACGTTCAGATACCAAGGGGTGGGGGTCCAGGATAGCTCGACACACCAGCGCCGCGCGGCAAGCGACTTCGCAGCGAGGGCTTTCAGCATCGATGGCCCCGCCCTCGATGAGCTTGATGCTGCTCGCGGAAGACGCCGCGAAAGCAGCACCAGACATGCCAATATCGCCGGAGCAGCAGGAGTCTATCATCTCGGTGCTGAGCGTGATGTCTTCAGTGTTGCTTCTTATCATTATCTCGGGGGCCGGTGAGTACTTGTAGTGTTTTGTTGAGTTGTGGTGGTTGTCCCCACGGATTGGAAATCAAATCAGCCTTGGTGTGCGTCTCACCCCCAACAGCTGGTTTGCCAGTACACACCCTTCTTCCCCCCATCGTTTTAAGCACGAGTGTAAAGACGGACAGAGATTCCATCCGTACCCGTTCGAAAAGTACCGAAGTGATCAATTAAGCATGGCCTGGTGTGTAGAACGTAGGAATCGACGAGTGTATGAGGATGACTCGTTTTCTGACAGCAGTCCCGTTGTTGCTCAGTACAACTGTTGCTGATCGTGCTGCTACCGTTGTGCTTGGTTGATGTTGGAGCCGTTAGTTCTTCACACTTCTGGCCATCGCGTTACGGCTTGACGTCCAACCTCCTCGACGAGGCTTAGATTTAACACACGAAGTCTTGCCGGGAAGAACTCCCCTCAGAAATACCACTGCTCACGTGCAACATGAGGCACGGGTCCGCTCGCCACCAAGCTTGCGGCAGCAACGAAAGGGCCAGGGGATGGAGCATAACCCTGTTTGTATGCGAGCCCTAGGCCCGTTTGTCCAATCGTCCTTTCCGTTTTCACGAAAATCGCACCCAACGGGAGAAATCATGCGGCATCCCATCCGGGACCAGACGCCCTTGTCTAGCAGCCAGCATCGACATATCTACGCCCTCATTTCCCCGGTCCCTCCTCCCGTGTACATGTTCGCCCGTCCTTCGTGTCTGCTGAAGTTTACTTGTCGCTGGAGGAGTGGAAGAACAAGAAGGAGCTCAAGGAAACGGACAAATACACCAGCGCGGGCCAGCTGCCTCCGGATATCGCGCCGGAGGCTTTACCGCCGGGCGATGGCGAAGAGGAGGGTAACCGATTGCAACGGCGCATGGCGAAGAAGGAGAAGAGGAAATCGGGCAAGGTTTAAAGAAAACAACGTGAGCAGGGTATCGCTGACCCCAGCGGAGCAAGGAATGTGGACCCCAAATGACGCAGCGAGGCACCATTGCCGTTTCGCCGAACCCCTGTTGATGCCGTCATCTTCGGCTGGCATGCTTGCCGGTCCAATGAGGGCTCCTGCGGGGTGTCTTCCAAAATGTACCGAGCAGAGCCTGCTCATGATTGGTCAACTACGTGAAATGGATACTGGCGGTGTCTTATTTGTGCGGGCAGTTGTTTCTGTTTCGATTTTTCACGGCGCGCTTGATTTTTCTGGCCAGTTTTTGCTGCTTCAGGACCTGTTTGTTTTGAACAGCGGCGGGGTCTTGTTTGGTGTGGAGTCATGGTTGGCGCGAGGCAGCGAATATGCTGACTCGGTTGAATCCTCCCCCCCCTCCTTTCCTGCTACAACGAAGCTAGTTAACGCACTGGTGCTTTCCCATGGGTGGTGCAGCTCAGGCGGTCCCTGCTGGTCTAACCATGTCTCGAAAGCTACCTCTCACAATGTTCAGGGGGGAAAGACTTGAAACTGGGGTGTAGAGACCTGCTTTGGAGTTGACAGCAGTCGCGTGAGACCATAGAATCGATGGAGTTTCGACGGTCTTGGAAGACCTCCATGTCCATCGAAGTTCGGGAGTGCACTGATTGTAGGAGCGAGCGGTTGTTATGTCGAAAGACGGACACAATACCCTTTTCATGCAGGCATAGTGACGTTTTCGGAGGAGGGCTAGGGACGGTTCGGAACTTTCGTCGTTGACATAGAAGCCTGAGAGCCTTCCTACAGTAGGTAGCACACCCTCGTCTTGTGCCGACGTATCCAACGTATTCATACAAGTATGCATTTACTAGGTAGATATTTGATATTTGTTCCCGTGGACTTCACCGTAAGGATACGTGATAATCTCGACCACGTACAAGCATTTCTTGCGCCCGAACGACGAGCCACACACACGGAGCAATAGAGCTATAGCATTAGATTCAGGGCTGAGAAGAGAGTTGCAACACGTGTGAAGCCAAAAGCTACAGTGGTGGAAGATTGTCTTGTAACGGATACATTTTTGAGCAGAAAATAATCTCGCCCGGCGTTGCACGACAAAAGACATCTCGCGGAGGTTCCCGTGCCCCACGAGCATCCACGGTCAAGGGTAAACGTTGACACCCTGCTGATTGATACCTGCACGCCGTTTTGCACGATATTTTCTAGTGACGCAGAGGCGACGTTCACTTCACCGCACACATGTAACGACACACTAAAAGGAGGATTTACACCCTACAGATCGCCTCTCACTACCGACACGATGCTTTGGAGCAGACGAACGCGATCCGTGCTCATGCACACCGAGGCAAGAACTGAATGAGTTCTGGAGGGAGAGGCGACGCAATGTCGTTCAGGTACCAAGTGCTTCCGACTTCCATGTCCGAAAAAACACGGAAAAAACACCAATATCTACATAGCGGCAACACCGAAAGACCATGCCACCACCCAAACGGAAATCATAGAGTTGGCCCGTGGATCCACGTGTTTCTTCTTCTCCCCCCAACCTTTCGCGCTCCAAATGGCTCTACTACTCCAAGACGGTCATCTCTATGTATGGAGGGCGATCCTGATCAAATCGAAGTTATTGCGATTTCGTCTACTCAACGGTGGTGCTGCTGCTCTATGCAGTCCAGTGTGGCCCTGTTGCAACCTTTTGGCGTTTCTATTCCAGGGTGATGAGGTACCGGCACTCTTCGGGGATGCTCTCGAACAGCCCCTTCTCCGTCAGCCACGACTTGCTGAACAGCCGGCTCTGGTACCGCGCCGCTCCGTCGCACAGCACCGACACTGTCACGCGAGTGCGCAGCACAAACGGCGTCGGAAAATGAATCCAAATCTGACAGCAGTTGGGGGATGAGATTTAGGGATGGTTTCTACACCCCCCAACGATGGGGTGCTTCGCGACACAATTTCAAGCGGGAGAAACGCCCGGCCGACACATCCCCCTTATTTCCAAGCCCGTGTTCATGCCCCTCCCAGGACCTCTAGCAACGTGATGATAATCGCGCACTCACTATAATCTCATTCTAATGCAGGTGTGGCTCCGACGGTCGCATGCACAGCGAGGAAATCTTTATGCTCCCATAAACAAATCCAGTTTGCCGGGAAAACAACGCACCTTAACAGCAGTTGTGTCATGAACGCCACCGGCTAGAGAAATGGTACGTCTATGCGCCCTCAACCATCAATCACATTCTGCGCAAAACCATTCCCCATCACAAGCCGAAAAAAACAACGCTCATCATGCACGGAATGCGGCTCACCTACAGTATTGCCCGCCCCTACAGCCTCCGCCGTCTTGACCGCCCCAACCATGTTCAGCGCGGAAGACGCTCCCACGAAGATGCCCTCGTAGTGCAAGAGGTTGTAGACCATCGCGATCGTTTCCGCGTCGGGGATCTGGTCAACGAACAACGTCGCCAACGTCGTCGTCAAACACGCAGCCCGCGCGCGCAAGGCAAGCAATGGAGCTGCTGCTGTTGTGGTCATTGCTGCTATAAATATTGGTGTCCTCGCGTGATAACCGCCCAACGAATCGATATCCAGCACTCCCTACATGCCAGTTGAAACACGGAAACTGAAGATGATTTCGGGCAACAATCGCCAGACAACGTGGGTGGACAAGACCTTCCGCTGCTTTTACTAGACGCACGACCCCTGCACGCCTTGTGTAGGCACTACAAAACCGATTAAATCGTGAGGCGCGCTTGGACTTGCCATTCCAAGAACGGCACTGGCAATCAAAACCGTACCAAACCGCCCCTCCTGGTCCTATCCCGGCATTGCAAGATCAAAACGAAAGACTGCTACCAAAACAAACACAGCCTAACCTAGTTTCGGATCAAGCAACACACGTATCATACGACGAACGAATTTCCACTCCGTCTTGGCGGATCTCCGATTCCGCGCTATGTAGGCGCTTCCATATCTCAGATGCAAAAAGATGCAAAAACGTTGTCAGCAACAACGCTTCTCTCAAAGTCCTCGCCGGAATCTTGTTTCCAAACAGCCGACCTTGTCACCTAGTACAACGCCTTCATTTTCTTGGAGATATGCGAATTCCAATGTCTCAACGTTGTTGTGGAGGGCATCGCACTCCGGCGCCTCTGTAATGTTGTATCGTTGTAATGTTGCAATGTTGTCATGCCTGCTCTTACCAAGAAAGCCCCATCGATCAACCCTTCGCACGTCGCCAGGTTCCCGGTCACTCTCCCTTGCCCGATCCCTTCCGTGATCGAGCCGCCTTCCGACCGTTCCATTTCGCCCTTTTCGGGAGTTGATCACAACAAATAACAACGGGAAGGGGGGGGGTTACTCATGTTTTGCATGCCTTTGAGCGGTTAGACAATTGATCACGCGCCCTCGAGAGGACGGAGCATTGTTTCCACAGGGCGGGAGGGGGGCGGGCGTGAGGGCGTCGGCTTAAAATTGCCGTGAATCACCGAGAAGTCTGAGCTTAGCGCTTCAGTTAAGAGCACCGAGTTTTGCCTACTCTACTACGGGGATGAGTTCTGGCAAGCTAGGCGCGGCTTCCTCACCCCAGTGGGGAAAACCCGACTTCAAAAAGGTCTCCCGCCAACAGACAGCAATGCGTATCAACAACAAACCATCAGAATTACACCCCGAGAAGAACAACGGACGATGTGCGCTGCTATCCCATGGGGCCAAAACTCAAAGCAATTGCGGCGCCAGGCTTAATTTCTTCAATCGCTCTGCGTCGCCTAAGTAGTAACGGGCGAACGGCCTCAAGTAGCCATCAATATATATCAACCTTAACAAGCATCTACCTTGGAAGCAGAGCCAGTCCGGCCATCACATCAAGCCTTACGGACCGCAGCACAAACTACAACACCTGTCAACCTGTCGGCGTTATAGACAGGGTTGGTGTTGTAATTTCTGTCTTGAGGACGCACCTTGGTGTAGTATGCGAACATTGAGGCCCCCGGCGGATCGGCCGCAAAGCACTTGATCCCCGGCACGTTTTCCTTCAAGAACCGCGACGTGCCTTCGTTGAATGCCACCGCACCACAGAGCGTTGGAAAACATCAAAGACACGGAGTGCAAGCGTTAGAAGCCGTTGTAGACAGGCCACGGGCGGCCTTTGCCTGTACACATTGTTGCCTGTTTGGCAAAAAAATCGCGTAAGCTGCATGCATAGAATGCGCAATCGAGGGTGACGCAAGTCCACCTCGAAGCACGAACCGACCCATCTTCGACAGCAGCCGCCGCAAAAGCAGGTCAAAACTCGTGAAAACCTCAACTGCCGTATCAGTAACGGTCTTAGCGGACGCCCTCACCCACCCACACAGCCCGTCGCCGTCTTCACAGCAACGAGTGGTAGAGACGCAGAATCCGTACGTACGACAGAGTCTACCATCAAGGTGTAGCCACTCCGTCCTTGCGGCATCGACAGCACCGACTGCCGGGCAACGCCAGATTCATCAGCTGGCACTTTGAAGTGAACAACACTCACGCTCGTTAACACTCGTTATGAGGGGTGCACCACACGCACCTGCCAGAGTCCCACCGGTGCCGACAGCCGCCACCCAGGCGTCGATCTTCCCGCCCGCTTGTGCCAGAATTTCCGGCCCGGTGGTTTCGTAATGAGCGAGCTGGTTGGCCGGGTTATCGAACTGATCGGCCCACACAGCTGATGGGATGGGATGGGATGAACCGGCATTTCATGGGGGGCGACAGGAATGCGCAGAGACCGGAAGGGATTGGATGAAACGACGTTTGACGGAAATTCCGGGAAGTGTTAACGAGAATCGAGAGGGGCGACGGAATATATGAATGGAGGGTTGTTTGTGACCGTTCTTCTCGGGATAATTGGGACCGTAATGTGCCCGGTTGGATGTTTAGTTTTCAACGGGAGAAGGGTGTTAAGATTCCATGATGGAGCGTGCCTACATGGTTGTATGTGCCGCCGACATAACCAGGCTAGGCGGAGAACGGTTTGTCGACAACGAAGAAGCAGGTGCAGATCTCAACAACAAGATCAAAGACGAGAAACAACACGCACAAGAGACTCGAGATGGTGACAAAAAGCGAAAAAAACATAAGCGGCTGTGTACATCACTTGATCATGGGCACGAGAAGACGCGTGGAGCTCAGCGAAACACAAAAACTAGCCGCTTGCGACAACCAGGAGCAACGACTTGGGTCCTTTCCCCCCCTACGGGATTCAACGGATACCATGCGCTACTTCCCACACGAAGACTTGGCGCAGAAAATCGCCTCTGCTATATCTACAAACCCTTGTCGGTGCCACAAGGGGATCTATACAACCAACAACAAAATACATGAACGCTAACACCTCAATGTCCCATCCCTAGGGCCCACCAACAAGCGGCCAATTCCGGAATAGCATGTTACTGCGCTCTCGATACTCTTCTGAGTGTACTCATTGTGCACCTGGTTTGCTGGCCCAGGATCCACTCAACAAACAAGGATCTATTGTAGAAACAAGACGAAGAAACACTTACCGTTCTCCATTTCCTCGGCGCAGCGCTTCGCCTGGTGGTTGTAGTTCATCTCGTCCTTGTACGGCACCGCCGGCACCGGCCTTACCTCTGCCCCGAGGCCCCTATTCGTCCGAATAATCAAGGCCATTCGCACCAACAGGACGTGGAGGGCATCAAGACAGCAGGCCAATCGGAAAGGGGCTTATCAACAGAGAGCGGGCCGTCCGAGGCAAGGGGACTGTGAGAAAGATCGAGAGCCATCAAAGCAGGCAGTCATGTTTCGGAGAGGGAGGACGAGCACTGCAAGAGAGAAAAGAAAGAGCGCGCGGCCCGTTTCTCTTGGCGTTACTGAAACTGACGAGATCTCGCGCCCCAGCAACAGCTGCTGCTGTTACCTCAGGGCTTCCATCTTCTCCTTGCTCTGCGTCTCGGGGATGTAAATCACACATTTGTAGCCCTTCGCGCGGCACATGTGGGCCAATCCGATGCCGGTGTTACCCGCAGTCCCTTCCACCACGGTGCCTCCCGGCTTGAGAACCCCCTTCTTCTCGGCGTCCATGATGAGGTACTTCGCGGCGCGGTCTTTCACGGAACCCCCCGGGTTCATCCACTCGGCCTTGGCCAGTATCTCGCACCCCGTTTTGTCGCTGAGGCTGCCGAGCCGAACCAGCGGGGTGTTGCTGTCCGGTGGTGTTTAGGGGGGTATTGGAGGCAGAGCGATGAAAGGAGGAGACGGACAAGGAGAAATACTCGTGTTGTTACGGGGGAAGTAAGAAGGGAAGACACAGCAACGGCAACGGGGTTGAGCTTGGACTTGTCAAAAGTGTGCATGGGCGTCGACAATCTCGCACCCTGCACAGAGTTCTCGACAGGATAATACATACTAACACTCCGCTCGCTACGCTACTGGACTTCCTGCCTACCGTAAGAGTCTCAGAGACCGCACCGGTCGGAGAGATCGCACCGGGGGTGCGGCACAAAACACGAAGAAAAAAATAGCACAATGATCGCACCCGGTGCCATCTCTCCGACCATTGCGGTACCAGAGCGCCACACCCACAGCAAAGAGCTTTTGCAGAAAATACGGTGCTTGAAACTGGTGACGTCTCGGGAGGTGCTCCAAGTCAACACAGGTTACAGCTTGCCGTCGTCAACCGCTCGCAGACACACGCAGCAGTACCGCAAGAAAAATGCCGTGTGCCATGCATGTTACGATGGTGTATTGTTGTACACTCTGCACGACAAGCCTGTTGTCCAAAGTGCGGACAAATACCCGGCCAGACAATAATTTGACACGTGTGAAACAAAAGCACGCACGCGTGATCTCCACGTTTGGCACGAAACAGCAGTCGAAGGACGCTGTGTCTGTCGCTTCGACTCACCCTACAGCCCCGGGAAAGCCCCGTACGATGCCCACCGAGACCCCAGCAGCGGCACCGGCGGTGGCGGTGGAGGCGGCCATGTTGAGGATGGTGACGGGTTGTCTGTCGAAGTTAGTGTTCTTGGAGAGCACAGCTCTGGTGAAAGGTCTCGCTGGTGTAGTGTAGGCAAGCAGTAGTGGGGCGGAACGGGGTGTGGTGCGGCCGGCCGGGGATAATTGCACGGGGTTAGGCGTTCTTCCGTTCCTTTTCTTAGAAAACATGCATAAAAATTCCTTTTTCTAGTGGCTTGTGGTACGGCTCGCCTCCCTACAATTGCACCGCATCCGAGAACCCCGGGAAGATCACGCTCAGCGACAACGGCGGGTGCTGGCTATGCAACAAGCGCGAGCCTCTTAGTTTTCCTACCAAAACCGACGCCAGAAATATTCTCGAGCTCATCCGTGCCGCAGAGGCAGTGGATTGGCGGGGCGTGTCTCACCCAGCAATATCAACCGAGGCCATCGTCAGCATGAGTCAAACAGGACGGGCGGCGACCAAGAAAAAGCCAGCGTACATGCAGAATCATGCTCGGTAATTTTCGCATGTTTGCGCTTCCCCTTGTGCGGAGGTAACCCACGCCGCCTACGCAGCACAGTTCCTTCGATGAGAGGGATTCATTAATAGCAAAGTGGTCCTCCCGTCTCTCTCCCCCTCTTCTCTGCCCGCCGCATCACGGCTGCGCCTGCTGTGCAATCTCATCTCTCTGTGTCTTCCCTCCACAACAAGGAGGCCATTGCATATTCCGAACGTGACTCACATATATAGTTGGGAGCACGGAGAGCTGAACCAATGAAACCTAACGAGAGCGGTAACTGCATTGGGAGTGGTGGAGATCTTCGCAGGTGCTGCTCTGTGCTACTTGCTGCGAGACCACAGACCAGACCAGCCAGCAGACGACACACAGATGGATGATTGCTCTCAGGGGCTCCGCCATGCGAGAGACCCCCCCTCACCAAAATTGAAAAATGTAAAGACAATGGGGGTCTCTCTACACTTGTTTTCAGCCGGGGCTGACCAATCTACAACATAACGCGCCCAACTGCGTTGGACAGAACGACAGCAGCAGTCCTCGTTTGAAGAAAATTGTCGTGATGCACCACCACCGGATCAGGAGATCAGCTCCCGTTTCCCTTGTGCACGTTGGCGGCACAATAATTTGGCGCGGCAGCTTTGGTTTGCACGTTTGCACCACCCCGGTCGAGTCGGCGTGTATCTTTCAACACAAACAAATCTTCAAATATAAAAATATCAAATTACACACCTACAATTGGCGATCGTATGCATATCGGACACCAAAAGCAACGGAAGGCGCGCCGGGAGCCACCCGGTATTAAGGGGGGCACAGACAGCCAAGAGAGAGCGAGGAGCAGCAAACCCGACACTAAAAAAAACTAATGAACGCTTTTTGCCTCCCATGGAAGATGCTTGGACAAAAAGTGTCGGCATCTTTCAAACAACCCAGCAGAGCAGTAGATGACATCTGCCTGGCGGACAAGCGACGCCCAAAGAAAACTATGTCCCGGCTTCCACTCTACACTTGCCAATTACTGCTGTGGCAAAGGAGGGGCACGAAAACCAACCCCCAAGACTCGTCGTCCTCAACCGCTGAACTGAACAAGTAGGGAGCTCCGCTGCCAGCTCTTGTGCGCCGGTAGCTTTACATGGGATAGCACTTCACAGGTGCGTCGTAGTTCGAATATCCCTTCCACACCCTCCCTTCACCTCTTCCTGACACAATCGCCTATTACCCCCCCCCCTGCAGCTATACTAAATCCCGCCCCGTCCCCATTGAGGCACAAGAGGGGACAACCGGGACAACAAATAAACCCATGTGGGTTCACGATACCGTGTAGGAATCGGCCGTGAGTGATGCGGTGTAGCCGTACTGGATGGGCGATTCCGTCTCCGTGTTGGTCACTCCAGCCACCTGGAGAGGCAGTGCATGACCCGAGAACAAACAAGACGGCGGGACGGAGACAAAGGAAAAACACGGTGCAGGAGTTGTCACAGTACGGTGGCCATTGGTGGCCCTTACGAAAAGGACAAGCAGTGCAAGATGCAAGCAGCGGAAAAGTACAGCCAAGCAACGCTGACAGGGTTAGCGGAGTCGACTAGAGCCGTAGAGCCAGCATCAGCGCTAGCGAACACGATTCTTCATAGATTTGACGACGTACCGGCCGTGTGTGCGTTCACGTGTGCATGGATGCCAAGAGAGGCAAACGCTGCCCTTTACCATGGTCGTCTCGCTTAGAGCTGCACCAGGGACTTACAACAGTAGTAGAACCTGTCTGCTGCTGTACTGAGTACTGAGGCACCGTGAACGCCTTCGGTAGCCCGACAAAGTCAGGCAGGCTCCAACCGTTCACGGTGGAACAACCCCGGGTTAAATTACTACTGCGAAGTATAATGTCCACTCAATGGAATTGCACAATCTTCACCTACACAGCACTGATGGACCCTTCATTCTTAAGTGCGAAAACTAGTGCCGGTATGGGTTATGAATAAAATACAAGCTCAGTCCCTACCTCCGCCCCCCCCCTCCTGCGCAGTCAGCCTAGAACACTCACAGGAAAATCAAAAAAACAATTCCGCCGCTTTTTTGAGACACACGAAAAAACTGACCTGCACATCGCAGAAGAGTTGGTTCGAGGCGAAGGTGACGGTGATGGGGAAAAACGCCTCCGCGTCGCGGGACGCGATGTTGAACTCCAAAGACCCGGTGCGGTTGGACTGGTCCAACAGGTCCATCGTCCACAAAAGCGTGCCCTCCTGCGTCAGGTGGCGGTGGGAGCCGTCGATCGCGGCGATCTCCGGAACGGCGGAGGAGCCGAGGGGGATGCTGATGCGCACGTCGTGGAGCTCCATCGGTCGAACCTGAAAAGAGGCGTGTTCGAACAGGGCGGCGGGGGGCGTACTCTTTTGTTTCGCATGCCTTCGTGTTTAGACCATTGACCACGCGTCCTCCAGACGACGGAGCATTGCTCTCACAGGACCGATCACCAATGGCAAACCGTTCCTTCATAGGTGGCCCAAAAATGAGGGGGGAGGCGTACTTGTGGTGCGTTAGTTGCCCAGTGTCGTGAAACAATAAACCACCACGCATCCTATTTGAGAGGCAGTGCCCAGCAGGGAAAAAAATACGCTGACACAAAACACTCGCGAAGTTCTTCCAGCGGTCGACGATGTTCATCCTCAACGAGCCACAACGAAACAATCAGTGCGGGGAGAACGCTGCCCGAATCAGGGTCGTGCAAGCAAAAACCGAGCCATGCCTTCGACACGCAAAAGCAGATCCCACTCGTGCAACGCGAGGCGGCACCGGACTATAACCACCACCAGCTCACCAGCTCGTACTCCATGCTGACGTTCATCTGCCCCCCGCCCTCTGGTTCCGGCCAGCAGTTGATCGTGAGCGGCATCTGCGACTCGTCCGTGGTGTTGAGGCTCCAGCGAAGCACGCCCACCTGTTTGCACCGTCCGTCCGTACCCGAGCGAGCCAACACGCACACGAGAACGGTCAGCAACCAAGAGACCAAGCTCGTATGAAAGCACACACCAAAAGTTGGTGGCCTGTTGAAAATTAACGCAAAAATGCGAAATTCTAATCATCACAAGGGACGGCCGGCATGACAACAAACTTTGAGGTGTACCCAGGCGCACGCCAGGAAAAACTGCGGCGCTGCAAAGGTCAGGCAGATCCGTTATAGCGCGAGCGACGGTTCTAGCGGCATGCACCGGACAAGGGAGAGAGGGGGGGCAAGCAGAGGAGACCGTGATCTGGGGTTTTCAGTGTAATAGCTTGAAAAAACAAAAAAAACGACTGCTGTACACCAGTAGACCAGCGTACAAAGCAGATGGAATACTGTACGCGAAAAAAAGACAAAAACGGCAACGAAGAGAGCGGAGAATCCGCCTTCCTTCCTTCCTTCCTTCCTTCCCTCTGTTACTCACCGGTCGAGCCACTGGGAACCCCTTGGCCTGGTCCTTCGACGCCAGAGTCTTGGCGGAGTCGTACATGCCCTTGTTCACCTATAATTGAAGAAGCAACCAAGAATGAAATACGTTTTAGAACTCATAACAATACCGGTCATCAAGGTCCCTGGTAGCTTTCGTGGTATTTCGCGTGTTTTCGGTTTCATAAACAGCGGCGACGAGTGGCACCGAAAGCTACACCAGACCAAGGCCTCGGTTAGAATTATTGCACATGAAACCTAACTCGGACATCTACCCACTCCTTCAGCAGGACGCTAAGGCTTCATTTCACCCACGAAGGTAGCAAGTGTACATAATTTAGGTACAGTAGACGGAGCGTGGCTTGCACCAATGGCCGTGCGTGAAGACCAAGCACTTATTACTAAGATCGCCGGTACTGCAGGGAGAAAAAAAAACTATGGTGGAATGTACACCGGTAGAGCTACGCGCGACAACGCGAGCTCGCTGATGGCACACTCCAACAGAAATTTTCCCTCCGTCTCAGACGAACAAAGGATACACGCTTAGCGGAACCTGTCCAGGCCCCCCACCAAGACCTTTCTCAGCACGCAACGACTGACCTCGACGCTTTCAACCGAAGGGGGAAAACTACACTATGACTACGCGCTCCCTTGCAACTCTCAGAGTCAGAGGGGGCGTGGTCAAGTCTTTACAGCAGTTGAGCTTGAGGGAATCGTGCTGGATATGTACTGGGCTTCAAACTGAGTCTGATTGAGTAATGCCCGCCGCATTTTTACCGTCATGTGTTCGATGCAGGCTTCGTCCCGATGGTCTCTGGTCTCTACACCGACGCCACGTCGCCAGTCGGAAACAGTCGTTGTCGTCACAACAACAAAAACGGAGTGATTCGAAGTACCACGCCCACGCGCGTTGCACGAACGCCCACAGCAGGTCGCGGGAGAAGACGATAGCACACATAACATCGCAAACAGACCCAGGGGGGCGCCAAACTTCGCAACAGCGGCAACGTGCATCATCATGCACCCGGTACACACACAGCAGTACCTTGGGGTGCGTTTGGAAGGTGAAGGTCCCCGAAGGGTCGGTGGACGCCAGCACCACCTTGCACTTGTTCGCTCCGTCGCTGTTGGCAGTCAGGCTCAGGGTTCCCTTCACCTCCATGCTCTCCAGGGTGCCCTCCCGGGTAAGCTGCGCGGTGTGTCCCAGACGAAGGAGGAGCGGTTTGTTGGCAAGAGGGGGGAGCGAGGGGTGAACATTAATATTCTAATGGCGAGGGAGGGGGAGGGGGTCCGTGGTTCAAGCCTCGAAATGTACTTGGTGGTGTTGGCAAACAAGCACAGGAGATGGCAATCAGGCTCCTGGGGTCAGGTGTGTCCCTGTACAATGATTTCTCGGCCATGTGATAGGACTTGACGCGAACAAAGCATCCTAGCATATGGGTGTCAATCCAAACGAGAAAACAGGGTCCCGCACGTGCCGTATCTCCTCTTGCAAGGCAAGGTGTCGAATGCCGCATACACGCATACGGGGGGTGTTCAACAACGACGGGCTATGCATGTAAAAAAACGAGACCGCTGTGGAATATACCTGCCGTGTACGGAGAGATTTACCACGACACTGGATGTACCAAGACATGTTCTCGCAAAATTGCACCAATACAAGCGAAGAGCCGACCTGTGCGATGAGGCGTTCTCTACGCCAGCGTAAAGGGAGAACTGGAGCAGCCCCGTCGCAAAAAAAAAAGAAAAGGTGCCCATTCCCCATCTTCCTTCCGCCAGCCAACGAGGATGACATATCTGTACCTGGCAGCTAAGACGCTCTTCTACGCTCAGCGAGACCGGGTGCACGGAGGCGGCAACGACGGCCGCAGGGACGGCTGCCTCCGTCCCGCCCGCCGAGGCTTTGCTCGCGGACGGGATGGACACCAGGTGGTCCTCCTTGATGAGGGAGTCCAGCATGTTCTTGCTCTTGGACGCTCCTCCCAGCTTCATTCCCTGTTGTTCAGGGCGGATACAGACCGGCGAGCGACCAAGCGCAAATAGATTCGACCAAGTAGGCTTGAGTGTTTCAGCTCTCGGTGGAAACTTATTGGGGGAGTGGGGCGCTTGTGGTCTAGGGTATGGACGGTATTGGCAACGGGGTGGTGGCAAGCGCACGCACCGGATGCATAGACGCGCGGTTCTTGCGGTTACCGCAACTCCTATCTCGCGCACCGTGATCTCTTATTGGGGACCCAATCGGCACCTTAGCTGCAGATCAGCCATGCACCCCCCTCCCGCCAGTTCGCCAAAAGATAACCTCACGACACACCCGAACAGAATGATCACTGTCCACTTTGAACAACACACTCAGCACCTACAACCCAAATACCGGAAGTCCTGCTAGACCCTCCCCCCTCCCTCCACCGACGTACCTGCGTGGAAACACGCGTGTCCGCCACAGGGGTAGACGACGCCGGCCCGGCAGCGGGCACCGACAAGCCCAACGAAGCCCCGGACCCCCCCCCCCCTCCGCCAAAGCCCGTCCCGCCCGTGCTCGCCACCCCGTAGTCCGAGGCCTCGGTGTACATGGAAGAGCCGCTCATTCCCATGCCGCCGCCGCCGCCACCCATGCCAGACATCCCTCCCATACCGGAGCCCCGGAGTTGCTTCGTTTCGGAGCAGGGGGGAGGGGGGGGAGACAGGTGTTCGTGCATAATGGGGTGTTAGGATGTGCCTATAGTACGTGTGGAGGTGGGGTATGGATGGGGCACACCACGCTAGATATGCCCCAACGACCGGTCAACGGTAAGACGGCATGACATACTATAATACAGGACGGATAGCCCCGATTTCCTTGGGAAACTTTGTAGCGGCAAACTTGAGAGTTTGAACCTAGCCGAGGATTACCTAGTTCGTGCTGTCATGCACAAAGCTTGTCGCTTGTTCGCGGGTACGTGTGAGGGACGGATCTGCTGGACTCGTCTCGCCTTCAAAATCAAGCAAGGTAAGTTCTGCGTGTTCCCTTCTGCGTAGCCCCTGGTTGAAGCTCTTCAACTGGGAACACAATAATTTACGGCAAGTATGCAAAGCCTTACGAGCGACACCTTGACTTGAAGGGGTGCAAAACACGTCACAAGCAAAAATGCACACAGGCAACATCAACAGGACCAACAACAAATGGAGATCGATGACACGTCAAGAGAGACCGCTACGACTACCACCAAAGCCCACCGCCACTGCTACTTCCAATATACTACTAATGACAGCAGTAGTGGTTGATGCTTCTATGCACGCGACTACTGCTACGACAACCACAAGCGCTTCTGCAACTGCAACTACTGTCACTACATTGCATTGGTGTACAATACTAATAGCTGTTGCCGGACTCACCGCTTCCTTCGCCTTTTCCCGTAGCTCCTTGGCTCTCCGGTCGGCCTCCTCCTTAGCGGCCTCCCTCTTGCTGTCCTGGATCATCGTGTGAAGACGCTCTTCGTGCGAGTCCATCTCCATGTTGGTCTTAATCTGTCATCATCATCAACATTACGACCCACATAGTAATTGACACAAGCACGCAGCAGTCGTACGCTGGACGTTATTCTCGTGTCGCTTAGAGGCAAACACCGCGTAGGTGATATGTATGTAACTCCGAGTATATATTTTGTCAAATCGATCTCTACCGAAGACGGACGCCCACCCACGGAGCCGGAACAACAACAGCAACAACGACGGCAGGCAAGCGCGAGCCAAGCACCGAACAGGCACGAATATTCTCAAGAGAAACGAGAGGGCCGTGGGCCCAAACAGCGCGGGGGGGCGAACGAAAAATGTATGTACATGATCTTCGGAGCGCCTCCGTGTAGGTGAGGCACAAAAGCTCAATAACACGGACCGCACTTGATAGAGTGCCGAATAATCCAGGGTCACACCATCTGCCCTCCTGCTCCGCGAACTTCGGAAAGCTCGATTCCAGCTTCGCAGGGATGACGCGAGGGTCTATCGTTGTCATAGAACCGGCCATGGATGACAAGAAGCACCCCCTCCCCCAAACAACAAATATCCGCCCCGTAGGCCACACGTGCTTTTCCCTTCCACTCCCTTGCCTCGGCGACGCCCTCAATATGGTGGCATTTGCAACTTTGTGTACGGTCCAATCCCATGCCTGGTCTTACGATTTGAGCTGTCCCTGGTACAGGGATCTACCCCCCACCCCCCATGGCCACCCCAAGGGTTATCTCACGCCCCCTCACAACCGCGGTAGCTACCGTCGTAACGCTTTCTCCGGCGATCGTGCTACCCCCCCCCCCCCCCCACCCCGGGGCGTTAACGAACACCCATACGACGAAGGCATCAAAATATCTTTCATTATGCTCGCGGAGGTGGCTTGCCTGTTGGAGAGTGATGTTCTCCTTGTGCCCCCCCGTAGTGATGACCTCGTCAAAGGCGAACACCAGCTCGAAAGACTTGCTCATCACCTTGTCCTCCGTGACCCCCCCTGCCACGTCCGGCACCACTGTTCCACGGAACCCCCACCGAATAGGAACAGCGCGGACGCAAGAAACACGGCAATATACCACATTAAGTCACGGCACATCGCGTCAATGCCGGTGTGTACAACGCTTGACCACATGGAAGTGACCAATAACGGAGAATGCTGTAGGGGTAGGCTACAGCAGCCGAAGGCGTACCATCTAGACGGATGGAATTTTAGACGTGAATGGCCGGCTGCTGGGCTGGATGGGTACGGTCGTGCGCGAATGCGATGAGAAAGCTGTCGCGTGTGGTCGGGGCGCCGATCAAGGCGCACCCGCTCCGCACGCACGTCAGCCGTCCAAGCACACCGCCGGGTAGCCTGCACACACCCGGACCAGCCTTTGGACTCAAGAGTACACCCGTATCGTTCGCAGAGTTCTCTACTTTCCGACTTCGTCCTCTGCCCCCCCGAAAAACGGTAGCGACCGCAGAGTGCTTGACCTTCCAACTTCGTCGTCTGGACACCGAAAAATGCCGGCAAGCGCAGGAGTGCTTGACTTTCCAACGTCGTCGTCTGCACTGCGAAGGTCGGTGGCAGAGTCCTCGTGCAAGTGTCCGAACCTCTGCTGTCGTTGAGGTAAACTAACCGAGATAAAATAATCGCGCAGGGAGTCGTCTGTGATGCCACTGGAACAAAGGCGTGTAGGCAACCAAGAGAAAGATACCATCATGATGTGGTGTGTCGAAGTGCTTCGGCAGGGGTCTACACTCGCCTTTGGAGAGCATCCGCAGGGTCTCGAGGTCCTCCACGATGTTGCTAGCCTTGTTGGTGACGAGCAGCAGGAAGAGGTTCTCGATCGGCTGGTACACGTACCGGACCGTCTCCGTCTCGATGAAAGTGTGCTGCTTGTTGCCTGCGAGAGCGCGCCGTGCGTGCGTGTGCGTATAAGCAGATATGTAGATTGACCGAACGAACATAGGCGGGACATGGTAACACGAGAGGTCACCAAAAAGAGGACAGACGAAGCGACCTCCACGTTACCGGAGAAACACAAAAGCATCAGTACAAAAGGCCACGTACGAGTGCAAATTAATCCCAAACAAAATGTTGGGTTCACGAAGACGGACACAACGCGGCCGCTGGATCTGCGTCAACACTGAGCAACCTCTTCACCTGACGTACAGTACCCCCACAATTCGGTTCTCAAAAGACTGGCACGTGGGTCAGTACCGAGACCAAGTAGAAAGCGCCGGACTATTTAGCTATGCTTGTTCAATCATAGCCCAGCACTGACTACAGTGTACATCGAAGCAAACGGCCCTGCTGGAACAGTCGGAGCAGCGACTTTTTTTTTTGCCACTATCAACTTCGCGGAACGTGCGGTATCAACAAGCAAAACCGCGCAACGTGCGTCGAACCGGTACTCTATACGACGGAACTCCAGCACCGGAAACACCTGACGATGACATTGAGGCTCACACCTGCAGTTGCAGCCCATCGGATACGCAAACGGAGTAGCATGGACTCTGAATTTTGGACGAGATCAATAGTGCTAGATCCATAGAGCGGGGCGCGCGTTCTCACCAGTGCCCATGAGCTTCGGGAAAGCGGCCAAGAGACCCTCGATACGGATGCGGCTCATGTCGACGAACTGCCTCGCCAGGAGAGCCTTCCCGTTCCGTGTCGTGATCGATGCCGAAAGAACCACCTTCGGAGGCGTTTTAATCCGGGGGAGGAAGCGAGTAGGTACACGTTCGGGGGTCTGTCGTGCATAGTTCCATCATTTTGACATTGCTAGCAAGAGCATCAAGAACTTGCCGAGAGTCCCTGGGCATACGCTGGGTAATATGATAAACTTCGCCGGTTTTCAAAGGGGTGGAGGCGTGTTTCTAGTCGCACACGACGGTTTCACAGGGCGGTGCCGGACGGGAACACGTAGTAAGTAAAGCAGACTGGTCACTATTGCCGACGTAGTTGACGATAACCAAGGTGCGGGAGGTTCCGCGTACAGCGTTCCGACGCATGTGCATTCCTGATAATTTAAAACGATTGCCCGTGTACGACGTGTGACAGATTAATTGAATCCGACCTCTCGTCGGCTATGTCGCGGATACGGAAAACTCAAACTTTCAAGCCAGCACAACCATCTGAAAAGAGCGGACCGCATCACTCCTCAACTGCTGTAGATTTCACAGCAGGTGCGCAACCTGCTGAATACAGATGGGTGCGTGGCATTGCTGCAAAGCACAACCGCTACTTCCAGCTGCCGCACTGACAACAGGGTAGAGAGACACAACGCCACGTCGATGGAAATAAAAACAGAACGGGCTGCGCGAGGGCAGCTGTGGTGGCGGTAGCAGAGTCATGGAAATAGAATAGGATTTGACCACAGTAGTACCAGATGCGAGAGGGAGAGGGTACACCAGCAGTCGCGGGTTGGAACACTGCTGTGTACACGATTGCAACAACCCTCGCACACCTGTTTTCGAGCGGCGAAGAACAATCGCAACGTATTTGTATCCATGGGCCACAAACGCGACAAGTTGAGGCCACAACAGCAGCTTGCCCCCAACCCTTGGTGAGGCAACGAGGTTCGGCAACACGGAAGCCTCTCTTGCACCCTACACACTGCGTAGGCGCGCAATGTGCGGCACTACTGGCCTGCTCCTCACAAGGCGGTCGGATGAAACACCTCCTAGCGCTACCACCCCAAACTAGAACAGTGCAGAGCAGCAAGCATGGCCCTTCGTGCACAACCTTCTTTCTGCCATCGTCGGTCTCACCATCTTGCCAGCTCTCTCACGCAGCAACAGCAGCGGCAGCAGTACTCGTCCTGAGCCGCGTGTGCTTCCTTCCGCACCCGACTGCTGTGCTTCTACCTTCGGATTCTTCCCTCTCTTCAGGGAAGCTTGGCAGCAAACAGCTTCGCGTCACCAACCGTGTAAACGAATGCCCTTGCAAAGAGCCCTCCTTCCGGTATGTACAGGTATGCAAGGACGTGATCTTATCAAAGTCTCGTTGCTCTTGGTGTTTGTTCTGCCCGCAGCCCACAGTGCCCTCTCTCCTGGGGGCTCACCGGATGGTATTCGAAGATGCACGGGGTACGTACTGTGCAGCACCACTGGCGCCGTGCCAGCGTACCAGGCACAACGTCAATTGACCAATCAGCTCACGATGGCACAACGTCAACAGCAGTAGCCAGTAACAAGTGTGCGCGTTGTGCTTAAGAGCGGCAGGTTTCGGGTTCACCGCACATTCACCGTGCCTGCAAATCGAGTGTGCGATCAGGTGAGATGTGAAAGAGTGAGTGGTGCGTGGAATCCCTCCGACAGCAGTTCCTCCGCAACTTGGAAGCTTTTGGTTCAATATTCGAGTACGCCCTTGCTGCTGTAGCTTTCGTTGTAGTCGAGCAGCTGCCATTTAGCACGTGACGTACTTCGCGCGACAGCACGCGTAGTGCCACCTCAGGGAGGTGCAGCGCGTGGCCTTACCAGCTATTTTTTGTTTTTTTGGATGCCACCACCATGTTAATTTTTTCCCGCCAAAGTTGGTTTGCGCTTGGGCGACGCAACCTTCAACCGTGGTCTTTTTCAAGTAAGTTGTGTGATTTTTTCGCCTGCGATCTTGCCCGCAGAGTACATTTGTACTGCTGTAGTGCTGACTTGGCGACTACGTTAAAGCACTTCTTCGCAGCATCGTTCAAGCTAAAGTAGATATAGATACTCTGCGACACGTTTGATGTTGCCCGACACAACCGCAGCTGCTGATCTCGGCAGAATCCGACGTGTTCATGTGTGCACAGATGTAGCGCCACGCGATCATCATGACGCAGCAGCAGGTTCGGGTAGCAGGCACAAGAGCATTTTCGTGGAGAAATAACAAGTTTTCTCATGGTAACATACATATGTTAGCTTGACAACATTTCCTTTGACAGGTTTAGCAACGGAATGCATTTTCGTCACCCTCGCAATTGATTGTCCGCGTGTGGTGTCTCGTTCATGCTCAGCAAAGGCCGGAGTCTGCGACAGTAAACGGCGGCTGGGATGCAACGTGCTCCTGCCAGTGGAGGCCAAGCGGGCCTTGTGGCAGCGGTGGAGCCCACTGCGGCAGAGTGCGTGCTATCTTCACACGAAAGACACACGTTCCAAGATGTCATCATCGTTTAGTGTAGACCTGTCCAACCCCCATCCTCGCTCTCAGAAACCTCGTTCATTTTCATGCTTGAGTTTCCACCCTCCCTCCCTCCCTCCCTCCCTCCCTTCCCCCTCCCCTTCGCAACGGCTTGACCATGTTGGCAAGCTTCTTGCCCAAAAGAACCCCTGGCCCGCCTTTCTGCACCTCGGAGCTCGAGCAACGGAAGAGTGGGAGGCTTGTCCCACCCCCGTACAGGAGGCTCTGGCATGGATGGCGACAGCTACGGTTGGGGTGCTCAACAGTGCGAGCGTAGGGCCCTTAGTGCCTGTATGCCAAGCATTCAAGGGGTTGATCGAGGCTGTCGAAGGTGCAGCGGAATCCCACGACAAGCTGAAGAGGTTGATATCCCGGTGCGCTTTCCTCACCACAGTCTTGATTCAGCACGACCGAGCGGTTGGTCCGCTCGCCCAGGTGCAGAAGCCCATAAAAGACTTCGTCGCCACGACCAACGATCTGGCGGCCTTTGCGGCGAAGTGGGCCAAGGGCAGCAAGTGGAGGGCGATTTTTGTCCACCGCAGCGACCGGAGCACTCTCACCGACTTCGAGGAGGGTCTGCGCATCATCAGCAACGACATCGCCTTGGTGGACGGACTGGAGCATCACCAGCTGTTGTTGGCCGTGTATCGCCAGTTGCGCCCTCCAACGTTGCCGGCTATGGCCTCGGTACCTCGAGGCGCGATCTCCCTGACCGATGGCCACATTTCACGGCCTTCGTTGCTCGGGGTAGCCATTGGTTACCTCACGAGCACGGCTGTGGGCGACGCGCCCTGTGTGCTGACCGGCATGGCCGGAGCGGGAAAGTCGGTCCTGGCGTCCGCAGTTGTCCGAGATGAGAAGGTCCGCGAGCACTTTCATGCGGCATATTTTGGTGGAGGGTGGGTCGTGACGCGAAGAATCAACTCCACGATTGGTTGGAAGGGCTTGCGTTGCGAGTGGCGTCAACGTCAGGGACTACTGCCCCCGGGCTGGGCAGCGTGGAAGAAGTGACGCGTTACCTGAAAGCGGTATGTGCCGACGCCGTGTCACCGCGCTTGGTCGTGCTCGACGACGTGTGGGAGCGGGAGGTCGTTGACACCCTGAAGCTGACGGGCCTGCAGCTGCTCGTAACCACGCGCGACCGTTCGGTGGTGTCGATGCCGGGAGAGTGCGTGGAGGTGGGGGATATGCAGGAGGACGAGGCCCTGGAGGTACTGAGAGTCGGCTGCGGGGCATCCAAGAGCCTCGAGTTACCGCGTGCTGAGGCGTTGCAGGTGACCGTCTAGACAATCGAATTCAGATTCTCACTGCGAACAGATTTGCGTTGCGCCAGCTGGTATCCCACCTGTGCTACGTTCTTCGTAATGGTAGCAGGACGGTAGTTCTGGCACGATTGGTATACAGCTTATGCTTGCGCTGTAAGATGGCGATCTATAGAGAGTGCGGTCGTTCTCGGCCTTCTTAGTTCAGCTACGAATGCGTCCGCCCCTTCGCGACAGGTCGTGGGTGACTGTGGGACTCTACCACTCTCGCTTGGCCTCGCCGCACCGCTGCTCAAGGGTCCCCCACAAGATCCCAAGTCCTGGCGAACTTTGCACGAGGCTTTAACAAAGCGATGACGACAAGGCTGGGGAACGACCGCATCACGACCGTACCGGAACGAGTAGATGCTGTCTTGGAAGTGAGCTTGAGCGTCATGGCAGACGACCCAGCCATGCGGAAAACATGCCTGTTCCTTGCGGCACTCGCCCCGGGTACATTGGTACCGTCTGACATGCTGGAATATTTGTGGGACGAGGTGCGGTGGGAGGTGTTGGCGGAGCAACGGGAGTAGTGAACCCCGTGCGGGAGCCATCTGTCACTGACCGTTTTGTTTTGTTGTCGCATAGGTGCACAAGCGGGCACGGCCTGTCTTGGTTCAACGTACAGGGAGCGTGTACAGGTAGTTTGTTGATATGAAGTATTTGCCCTCTGTATTTTCCCTGCGCTTGTGTTTGATTTTTTCGTAGATGTTAGTACTTTTTGTGAAGCCTCGGGAATCAAGGTAGCAAACAGGCACACGTGCTTGTGGGAGTGGAATACGGTCTTTATAATGGCTCATCTTTACCATTATTGTTTTGTATTTGCTGGAAGCCGTATTTATCAAATGCTGGTCTTCCCTTCCTCTTCTACGCGGCCTCCTCCAGGCTCCTGGGGCTGCCAAGACGTTCGCTGCACAGCTCGTGAATCAGTCCATGCTCCAGCCTGCAGGGGATGCTTTTCGCGTTCACGATGTAGTCTTGCTGTTCCTCAAGCCCAAGCTCAAAGCCGATCGCAGCCGGCCTATTGCAACGTCCCGTATCGCGGAGTATCTGGGGCAGCTGAACGTTCTGCGAAGATACGTCGAGAACGGGGAGAAGAGCGACGGTGTGTATTCCTTGATGGCCCTTTGGAGGTCGGTGGAGGACCTCGTGGGGGAGAACCAAGTCGCAGCTGTGTACACGAAGAACCTCCAAGGGGTACCGGAGAGAGCACCGTGGCGACAGGCTGGCCGTGTTTTGCACCTTATGGTGAGGCGCCGTAGTGAACGTTCTGATGCGAATCACCATCACGGTTCCATGTTGGACGATGCTCTGCAGTTGATGCAGCATCTGATGAAGAAGCGACTGTTTTTATTTTGTTCTTCGACCACACTCCTTATGTGCCCGTCGGTGCACGCTGGACTCTGGTCGTGACACGAGGGTTTATCCTGTGATTAGGCGCACTTTAGCGCATGACCCAACCACCAATGCTTGGATTTCTGTTGTGAGCTATTGTATTGAAAGGGTGCGGTAATCCCATGCAGCTTGAATAGATTCAGAGCGTGCTGCCGCGAGCCCTCGACCTTTACAAACGCTGCTGACGACAACAAGGTGCTCAGATGCTGGCGAGGGTTCATTTTACAGAAGTAGAAACAACCGCGTGCAGTAGAACGTATGCGATGATATGCATTTATGCGAAGTACGGAACGCTACCATCTGACCAATATGTTTGCACAGCGAAAAGGGATACGTGACGTTTCAGGCTATTCTCGTCAGACGTAAGGCAGCATGTTATGTGCTCGATTTGACGCGCTGTGCAGTTGTCGAGGGAATAAATCTCGAGGCTGAGCATCTGTTCGGAAGGTCGCTGACTACTTGTGCGAATTCGTCGGATTGTCAGCAACCAGCCGGGCACGCTAGGCTACCATGTTGTGTTTTCCACTCACCTTTCCCTCGCATTCCAGGGCCAGCACGAAGAAGCAGACACTAAACGCACTTGGACGTTTGAATTCTTGGTTCAACCGTGGGCGAAGAACACCCCGACGATGCTTCAGTGCCCAACCGGTGCTGTAGAGTGTTTCGTCCTCAGCATTAACAAGTGTTGACCACATTCGTTGTGCGGTTTGGCGTCGAGTTCCAGGGCAAGCATGAGGAAGCTGAGCCGCTGTACCAACGCTCCCTCGCCATCTGCGAGACGTCTTTTGGCCCTGATCACCCCACGGTGGCCGCAGCACTCAACAACCTGGCGGTGATGCTGGAGAACCAGGTGAGAGCCAAAGGACTTGTTCTTGAATTTTCGTAGGGTTCAAATCGCTGTCTGAAACTCCTCGTTTTTTGTACGTGGCTGGCTGACCGAGCCCCCTTTGTGTTGCAAGTACGACCGGGCCGAACCACTGTATGAACGTGTCACAAATCAATCCGACAGAAGGCGCTGGGCCCGGAGCGACCCCGATGTGGCCCAGTCGCTCAACAACCGTGGCGAGAATGTTGGGCGTTGTTCCTCGGCAATATGCTGTACCAAGTCTTGGTTCACACCCCTTCCTCCTTTGCCAGGGCAAGTATGCTGAGGCGGACCCTCTGTGCCTTCGAGCTATTGAGATCGGAGAGGAAACGCTGAGCCCTGACCACCCAAGCCTGGCAACCAGGCTCAACAACCGTGCCGCGTTGTTGCAGGCACAGGTGCTTTTCTGGAAATCTCCTAGGATAGAGTTTATTATTTTTTGTGAAGTATTTCGGTTGTTAGTACACCACTGGCTGACCGAACCCGTGCTGTTTGCAAAGAATAAATAAGACGAGGCCGAACGCCTCTATGATCGTGTCAAAGTCAGTCAGAGAGAAGGCGGCGTGTCCGGACCAAACCCGATATGACCCAGTCGCTCGACAACCGGGACGTGATTGTTGAGCCGTTTATCCCTCGGTAATATGCTGTAACAGGCCTTGGTTTACATCTCTTTCGTCCCTCCTCCTGTCCTTCCAGGGCAAGTATGCCGAGGCGGACCCTCTGTACCTTCGAGCTATTGAGGTCGGAGAGAAAACGCTGGGCCCTGACCACCCAGACCTGGCAACCAGGCTCAGCAACCGGGCGGGGTTGTTGGAGGCACAGGTAAGAGCCAACGGATTTGTCCTGGATATAGGGTAGGATTCAATTTAGTGTGCGAAATTATGCGTTTTTTGCACGGGTTGGATCTGTAGGGTACGGGTAATCTCTGTAGGGTACAGAGGTGCTACAGAGAACCTCACAGAGAATCTCTGTAGGGTACCGAGGTGATACAGAACCTCACAGAAAAATAGGGTATTGTGGAGCACCGTCACAGAACCTCACAGACAAATAGGGTTTTGTGGAGCACCGTCACAGATATTCTCTGTAGGGTATTTTATCTTCACAGATCATCGGGGGTATTCCCTGTAGGGTACGGAGGTGTCACAGAACCTCACAGACAAATAGGGTATTGTGGAGCACCGTCACAGAACCTCACAGAAAAATAGGGTATTGCGGCGGACCGTCACAGAACCTCACAGAAAAATAGGGTATTGTGGCGGACCGTCACAGAACCTCACAGAGAATCTGTAGGCCGGGAGGAGAAAACCATGTAGCGCGCAGTTACAGTCTGCTTGTTTTCGTGGCCTCTGTTTTGGATCTTTGTTAGTGAGCCTTTGCACAGGTGTATGCGCGACCTTTGTTTGGATCTTCCCCGAGTCGACCTTGACCCGACGGGGACACGTGTGCCTGTTGTTATTGCTATTGTTGTTTCGTCTACCTTGTGTGTGATATGTTGTTTTTGGCTTCAATCTCGTCATATTCAGTCTGCATTTCTGATATTTTTGTCGTCGCCCAGAAACAGGAATCACCCCCTTTTGGCGAGGGCATCCAAATACAAGCCCATCAAAACCCCATCCCAATCAAACAAGAATCGCAAAAGTCTGTGCGGCATTGTTGCTCAATACTGCGTCTGGTCGACCGAGAAATAAATTCCGCCGTCTTGCTGTCTGAGGCACCCCTCATTCAAGATGTTTTCCCCACAACCGCCCCTGCAACCCCGTGTTCCTACATCCTTGCCACCTGCAACTGCAAGGGCCAAGCCCTCCTCCCTCGACGCTCCCGAATACTTTCGCGTCCAGGCTGAAAAGCCTCATTTCGGGGGCAGACATCAAACCTTCCCTTGATTGTGCGCCGCAAGTGCATTGTGCACTTTCTGCATGGTAGGTGGGTCAATGGAGAATGAAGGTGTTTGACCCGGACGAAAACCTTCAGGCAAAGGGTGTAGAACGTAGTTCACCAGACAGCAGCAGCAGAAGACTGCTATCGGCGTGCCATCCCTCCCAGTGTGGTGGAGGTCGCCGACATTCAGAGACATGTCATCAGGGAGAGGCAGGGGTCTGTGTCGGGACGACAGCCTGAGTTCTCCGCGACAAGGGGCTGATGAACTTGGCCACTAGCTTTTCGCCAAACCTAGGCGGGCAGTGGGACAAACCGCTTGTATCGGATAGCCCGCGCTGTACGCGCGGCTTGCTCCTCCCCGCGTGCAGCTGGATGTTGAAAAGAAACCAGAGAAGCGGCACCATGCCCCTGATTTTACCGAGCGAAAAGAGAAGAGAAGGAAAAGTTAGGGGAAAAAACTACGGTTCACTCACGGACAATCTTGACAATGATTGATACATCCAAACAACAGGTTCCATTTGGAAGGCAACACTGGCTCTTGCGGGAACTTAAATAAACACGAAAGATCACGGTGTAAGACAAGAACCAGAATAACAATGCGCAGAGCAAGATATGCATCTGCCAACCAAAGAGTAAAACATAATAACAACGGGTATGCAGAACAGCGGGTACGCAGCAAAAAGGCACGGGAAAAGGGAGAAAAGGACCACAACAAGTGCGGCGTCAGGGCTTGATAATAGGAGGTATCGGGTATGACGGGGAGGGGAACAGTCTGGAAAATACAGAGAAATACTAAGCACCGACCGGGCTCGAGGTACATTAAGAACTTTGCCGAACCAGAAAAAAAGGCCAGAACAGTTTACTGCTTCCCGGTTCCGTGTCAAGTTCAATCTTAGACCGAGCTACGTAGGGTCTTTTTACTACGTAGACTAAAGGTTAGCAGTCTGCGTCAAGGTGCGGAAGTCGTTATTTTCCAGGGCGGCTGTTGTAAAAACGTTAGCGTGTTGCCGTCGTCACCGCCCCCCGCTATGGTAGCACGAACTACAGATTGTGCTTGTATTATTGAGTGGTGGTCATGCCATGTGTTGTACTCTCTTCCCAGCATCATTGCTGTCGATTCTCACAACTCGAGCCCACCGGGGCCGACCTTCCGTATTGGATTTTGGGCGTAATTGGCGGGGGAAAGGGTCAAGGAGAGGACAGGTAGGTGCAACCGCTGGGTTTTACGGTAGTTCTGCTGTCCGTGGCAAGTAGGTAGACGACATGTTCGAAGTACGCCCACAACATGCTTACATGGGGATGCCGAAAAACAGTAGGGGCGCGGCTAGGCCATACCCGCTGAAGATGGCGAACAACAGCATGGAGATGGTCTGTACGGCCATTGTCAGGCACACTGACATGGCCATCGTGATTTTCTTCCTCGCCGCGAGGAGGTTTGGATCTCCTTCTTTCTTTGCTGCCGTCGTATGATGGCCATCCTCTTCCCGTCCTGCTGCCTGTGCTGCCGCTGATGAGCTGCCGGCAATTGTCTGGTGGTTTGCCGAAGTATTCTGCAGAGATCCGTTGATAGTGCGTACGAGCGACGTGCCACACTTTCGGATGACCACATTGCAGGCCACGCATAGACATATGAAGGCAGCTGTGGCAACAATAATGGCTGCATGCTCGCGCTTAGCTGCTGCCAGGATCGTTGCGATCACCCCGCCGATGCAAAACACGCCGTAAGAGGTGTACTGCCCCACCGGCCGTTCCAGCATGTTGGATATCGCCAGGATCTCTGGAGTCTCTTGCATCAACCGAGGGTCATTTCTGCAGGAGTTGTTGGCAAAAAAAAGAATAATTTGCGGTCGGCAAGATGGAGAGAGACAACGAGAGCGTCGGGCCCAAGGCGCATTCGGAAGGCCTGTACACAGACGAAGGTCAAGGGGTATTTGTATACTCTCCGCGCGCAGAAACGGTACAGCTCGTCAGCATGCGCAATGAATGGAACTCGACGGGAAGCCAGCCCCTGTAAGCGCCTACAACCCGCCGTCATGATACAGTATCATTGGGATCAAGGTTTAGGCGTCTTACGCCGGAAGATTCAACCCTTTCCCGCGAATCTCATACAGTGTAGAATTCAAATGCGAATGCCCGTTTCTCTTTGGGCTAGCGAGGTCTTGTCGCACTCCATTTTATCGGTGCTGCGGGAAGCATTTTCTTAACCTGCATCCCCAAACCGTACTGCTTAGCACGCCCGCAACATCCGGATTTCGATCGCCAGATTTTTTGCTCGCAGGAAGCACTCGGTTGTGCAATGTACGAGGTAATCAAGGCTGCCGAAGTTCTGGAACGTTCCGCAGCAAATTTGATTTTTCCATATTATTGTGTTCTTGCCTGTCGTTTGATATCGACCGTTGCTCCACTGTTCTTCTATACCGGTGATTATTCTTGGTACTTTAGGGTGCGTGTCTACAGTAGTCATGCGACTTCGATGAGAGTTGAGAGCCCCGCAGATGGCGGTGATAGCTCCTTGAGTGGCAATCACCCACGCTAACCTCCCAACTTACGTGTAAATCCACAGGCGTGTCGTCAGTACGCCACCGATGCTAGCCGTGAGCTGAGTGACACCGGCAAGCAGAATAACAGACCCCCAGAGCTGGTCGCCTTTTAGAACAAGTATCATGACGAAGTAGACGAGGCTTAGGCCGGCATGAGCGGTTGCTACGATATGAAGGTGCCGGCGACAACCCTCGATGGGCGACGAAGAAGCCGTTATTTGTTGGGCGTGAAACTTGGCCTGATTATTATCATGAACGAGTGACACGGCGGGAAGTTCGTGAAATGAGCAAAGTTTTGTTGCGAAGACTGCCGGATGCTGTGGTAGTATAGGATAAGGTACTGAGGAGTTCATACGAAGTGGAAGACGGCGTATTTTTTGGTGTTGTTGGTAGTACACGTTACCCCGTTGAATGGGCAGTTGGTCAACGTGTGTCAAACTTGAAGAGAAAATTCGACGGGCTATGTCCAGCCAGAAGAGCCGCGAAGCAAGAAAAGGAAAGCAGTAACTGTACGGGCTGCCTCGACCTTCATGTACCGAACGGTGAAAATATCCCGACTGGCAGTCTCCTGCGACGCAACTTTAGAGAGCCCAGATAGTTTACACTCAGGACTAATATAGGGTATCCACTATGGATTGACGCGGAATTTTGACCTTTGAGGATTGACGCCAACATAAAGTGACGGTTGAGGGTTTTGACAGGAAAAAATTCGCACCGCGTGTGCCCGTTGACACGTGAGAGGTGAAAAAAAAAAATGGTGGAGGTAGAGTTCAAGGTTGGTTCGGGCTGCCACCCAGGGTCGACATTCCGAAGCGAAGACTCACACCCCCAGGCTCCCAGGAGACTAGGTGTACCCCTTCGCCTCATCCCGCCGACCTTCCCTCCTTTGCCGCGGCGACTTTTCCCAGGCGTCAAACTGCGACTTCCCAGGCGTCAAACTGCCGTTCGTTGCTGATGAGTAAGGCAGCTGCTCGCTGCACTGCTGTGTATATACCGATGTCACTGCGGCAGCAGAGCACCGAACCCCGTGAGGGGGCGGGCGAAATGCACCTACTGACTGGCAAAGTCCGTGTACCCTCCCTTACTCCTCTCCATGTGCTGCCTTCGAGGGCGAGACTCCCCCAATCACTCCCCTGCCTATGCCCCTTTTTGCTGCTGAAAGCCCGTGCGCACTCGCGACGGCGCATCTACCGAACGCGCGCGCCGAACACGCGCGTCTGGCCACTTGGCCGCCGTGAGAACTGCCGAGACGCGTGGGTGCAGGACCGCTAGGAGCAATCAGTATAGGCATGGCCAATGTGTTCGCTGCTGACCGCGCACAGCAGACCGCAGCAGAGCAAGCGTGTGTGAGCCACAGTCTGGCGATGTTTGAAGCGTCAATCTTTTCGCGTCGTTTTATGTTTGGGTGAAATTTTATTTTGACGCTTCCTCACAAAAATTTCGCCGTCAGAGTTTGCCCCCAAAAAAGCGGCGCAACCTCTTCACGTCAAAACTTCCTGAAATGTCAATCTTTCACGTCATTTCAACAACACGTGGATTCCCTCTATAAGAGCAAATTCCCACTGAAGGCGGAGCTGTGGGCAGTTGTCTTTGAATATGCAATTGTACAGGGACGAGTCACATGATGGAATAGACGCGGACTCGCCTACCTGGCGATTGAGCTGGTACGCTGCATGAGACAAGCCTGCCGCGGAAATGGCTATGCCGAGGGCACCAAATATCACGTGCGCCGTAGTTGGAACACATGATGCTTGCCCGAGGATATTGAACTCGCACCATCCCTCATCTCCACAGGTACAGGAGCAGATTCCGGCTCCGGCAATCGTCGGCACTCCTATGCCTCCCCAGAGGAAGGTCTGGCATCCTTCGATGCATTCCATGGAATCGACCGCGTCGAGTGTTGGATCAGTACGGACATACGAAGGAACTAACTGGGTAGAGAGAGATCGGAACGGTGAAGACAACAACAACAACAACAACAACAACAATGTCTCGTCTATTCCCAAGT